CATTGTTAATTTCTTTAATAGGGGGGGGGGGGTGCTGACCGGGAGAGATTTTCCATATTCAATAAGCTCAATTCTTTGTTTCCTACTAGTGTTGCGTGTGGCCCAAGCCATGCATTTTGGAGACGACACTGAGTTCACAGACACATTTAGGCGTTCACGACCTTAAACTGGAAGGCCGTGAACTCAGCTCGATCTGGGTTTAAATGAGAGCTAAAAGGAAGAAGAAGGGGAGCTTCATTTTTAGGTTAGGTTTTCATTTTACAGAATAAAGAGGAGGTTAGGGTTTCGTCTAGAGTGACAAAATGCAAATCAAAGGAGGAAGAAGGAGCTTTGGGCTTGTTCCTTGCTAGAGGACTGAATATTTCTTCATCTCAAGGGTGTCTCAAGCAACAAGGAGGAAAGATTGGCATCACTTCATGGTTCTTTCTTCCCCTTTTGATGTTTTCTCTTGTCTAGCTATGGAATAGCCTACCTACTCACATGGGTATTGTGAATCCTAGTATATGTTAGGATGTAAGAACATGAACCTATTGTGCTGATTGAGTGTTTTATATGATATTTGAGGTATTATTCATGAATGATTGAATGTTCTAGTTTTAACTCGATATTGGGTAAAATTGATCTAGCGAGTAGAAATCCCCTTTTGGTCCAATAGGAAGCTAGACTTCTTAGCCACTTGGGTAACATCCCTTAGGACAATTTAAGACCAAAATCTCAAGTATCGGAGTAGGGCCGCGATTCCACCGGGATTGGTCTCTCCGCCTACCAGATTAAGTACTAAGGGTTTGGTTTACAATCCTTAGTCGGCTAGTCGAGAGATTTAGGTTTCCTAGCCTATCGTTAGTACCCTTAGCCGAAAGGTTAAGTGAGTTAGCTTTCTAACTTGTTGCAACGATTCTCAATTAGCTAAGAGAGAGTTAGGGATCTCCTTGGTTGATCACTGAAGAGGGCTAGGTTCCCTAGCTATGAATCACAATCCTTAACCTAACGGTTAAGAAAGCTAGTTCTCCTAGCCTATATTTGTTGGTTTTCCTTCATTTATCGACTAAGGGAGTTTGTCCCTAGCTAGTTGCACCCACCTCGCGGTGTATGAACACGTCCTTCACACTAGAGCTTTGTTTGTCGCTTCTTAGCATGAGACTAGGGGGATCAATACCCGGGTGAAGTCCTCTTGAGTAGAATTCTCTTCCATTTACTTTCCTTGCTTGTTTAGTTTGTATTTTTCTTAGTTTTAAACCCAAAACGGTTTTGCTAGATAACAACTTAAGTGACTGAAGTAGGGATACATGGATCGGCCCGGGTTTGACAATTAAATACTTGCCCTATAATGCCCCCGACTAGAGTTCAAAAATTTGGGCTCTAGTCGGGATATAATTCGTGGTGTAGTTCCGAGTGAGTTAAGTTTTTGGCCCCGTTGCCGGGGAACACAGAGAGGCTAGGAGGGCTTGCAGAGCAAGCATGTGCACAACTTGCGCACAATCGCCTACTACCATTGGAAGAAAGAGAGGAAGTCGAAGAGGCAAGCCATGAGAGTTTTGGAAGAACGAGCTCCGACATGGATTTCCAACCCCTCCCTCCTCCCGGTTTGACACTTGAAGAGAAGGTGGCACAAGCTTGTGCAAGCTGTCGTCTCTCATCATTGGAGGAGAAAGAGGAGGTTGAAGGAGTGATCAATGACAACCGTGTGGAGCAAGACAGACTCACCTTGGAGAGCTCCCGCGGTGAGGATGAATAATAAGGTTGCATTGATGACTCTCATCACTTTCCCCTCCTAGAGAGCAAATTTAAAGACCGAGTCACGAGTGTGAAGGAGCAAGATAATCCTTTCTATGATCTTGCATGGCATCTTACCCTCCAAACCGTACTTGAAGACATGAATGGGAAGGAGGAAGTGAGCATTAAAGAAGGGGAAGATCTTGATTGTTCCCAAGTGGAGGAACAAAATAAAGAAGAAGGAAGGGATGTTTAAGATGAAGTAGAAGAAGCAAGTGGTGTCCAGGATGAGGAAAAGGTCAAGTTGGATGAAGCATCCACAAGTTACAAGAGATACCAATGCTTTCCAGCGGACCTTGATGAGATACTTGAGAAGGACCCATTTGCGTCACTTTGCCAAGCCAAGGCCAAGCCATCGGCAATCCCTCTTGGTGGATGCGATGGAAGTCGATCAAGGTTGCACAATATGGTGTGGGGAAAAGAGAAAGGTGAAGAAAGAAAGAAGAAGAGGTCTCGTGGGTGGAGCCCCAAGAAAAATCAAGTTCACGAGCCCTCAATCATGGATTCGTCCAAAGCTCGTAACTTGAGATACCACCTCACCGACTAGAACCTCAACTTCAAGGAGGTTCTTTGGTGGACCGAAACTTGAAGAGCAACCATTCGGCTCACGAAGTTAAAGAAGCGCTTGGTGGGAGGCAACCCAACCATCAACGGTGTGTTTTATTTTGGCTTCAATAATTCGACCTTTTGTTTTGCCGCCTCCTTGCTCTTCCGGATCTAACCCGCCCTCCGCTCCCGAACACCAACATTCCACTATCCGGTAACATCGTCTACCTCCTTCTTTTACGCCATTGAGGGCAATGTCGAGATTAAGTGTGAGGGGGTAGTCCATTATGCATGAGTGTGTGAATGTTTGGTGTGATTTTTAATGCTTGGAGCCTAGTTGTATGCCCAAATTTTTAAAATTTGAGGGCTCCAAGCATAACAACTTCTACATTGGCATGATCATAGTGGCACCTTGTGATGATTTGTTTTAAATCTCGTGGTTATTAGCATTGTCTATGGATAGAGGTGTCAATTGGGAGGGTTGGGTCGGGTTCGGATTGGGTCTAATCGGGTTGGGTTCAATCGGGTTGCGAGTTCAATCGGGTCGGTTTCAATTTGGATCGGGTTTAATTGGGTTGCAGGTCAATTGGGTTACGAGTCAATCAGGTCACAGGTCAATTGGGTTACGGATCGGGTCGGGTCACGGGTGCATCAAATTACGGGTTTATTGGATTGTGGGTTAATTCGGGTTCGGTCAGGTCGGATTATGGGTTATTCGGGTCAACCCATTGGATAATTTACTTCTTGACAGAAAATAATGTTTTACAAACTATCAATATATGAATATAAATTGTAGGTAATGATAAAATTTTTAAGAAAATGATAATATGATAATATTTTAAACATACAAATTAAATATCCATTATGTTAGTATAAAAACTAAATATAAATAAAATAGTGTATATAAAAGCTTTGTTGTTGGTTATAATTTTTTTTTGTTTATGGTGAGAGATTGTAACTTCCCTTATTTTATTAATTTATAAAAAAAATTGAATCAGTAAAAATTTGAGAATGAAGTAAAAAAGCTAGACTATATGCTTATACATCTCGAAATGAATCGTTTTAATTAAATATAGTATGAACTAGATGTGTGTCTTTTCATTTCCACGAAGACTTATGAACATCATTCCGAATCAGCCACTTATATATCTTCACAATTTTTTATATATTCACGGTAACATCTCATCCTAAAACTCATGGGTCGAACAACGGTTCGCTCAAATATGATATTATCATCTAGTTCGAATCGTCGATTTATTAATTTATAAAAAATAAATAAAATCAGTAAAAAGTTGAGAATGAAGTAAAAAGTGTAAACTATCCACTTATATATCTTGATAGGATCATTGATTTCATTGATTTTGGGGATTCCATCTGAATGGTATCAACCTTAGTTCTTTTGGACACATTTCTTCACATAAAGAATTTACAATTCTTTGAAGTATTGATGATTTATTTTTTTGCCTTTGTGGTACAAATTGAAGTGATACCTTTTACATTACTCTTTTGTACAAATACCTTTATGATACAAACTAAATATGTACCTATATGTTATGGTACAATAACATAAAGGTATAAATTCTCTTATGGTACAACCTGAACTTGTATTTGTACAACTTCAAGTTTGTACCATAACATATATGTACAAATTGTCTTATGGTACAACCTGAACTTGTATTTTTAATCAAGTTTGTATCATAAATGTACAAAATGTTTTATGGGACAACCCAAACTTGTACTTTTAATATTATACTTATAATACAACTTCAATTTGTATCTCAAAACACCAATAGTTTAAAGTATAGTAGAGTTATCTTATATACACTAACACCCTAATAGGGTAACATTAATTTTGATCTCATTCTAAACTTTGGCCTCAATGAGACAATATCCACGTGCCTAGGACTAATAGTATATGTATAAAGTATACACTAACATGTTATTAACTTATTATGTTACTATAAAATATTATATGGAAGTGACCAGATATATAATTAAACATATATAGAGTAAAAAAGGCCACAAGTATGTAAAAATATTACGCAAGAGATGAACGTGTGCATTTATCTTCTCTTTTTCAATAAGCTTTGTTTACTTCTTCTTTCTCACGGCAACTCGCCAGATTAGGAGAAATCAGAAAAATTATAATACATAATGGTATTGGTCCTGGATAATTCTTATATTTATTTCATTATTTATCATATGTTGAAAAGGTTTAAAAACCCCCAAATTTAAGCTATAAAAATTCTTGATTTCACCAAAAAAATCTTGATCTCAACCCTCCATTCATGCACTATTTTAATCATGACAATTAATTCAAGTTAAGTGTGTAACTAAAACACCAAAATCATCAATCCACGTAAAACAAATCCTCACTATTTGGCATTTATATTATTATTTTTTAGCTTTTTACCTTTCCCATTTTCTTTTCCCCTGCTTCCTGCGTCCTGCAGCACTCCAGCTCCCGCCACTTTATATTCTCCAATAAATTGAGAACTGATAAAGCAAAAGTGCAAAACTGCAAAAGCCCCCCGCCGACGCTCTCTGTTTGCGTTGTGGAAAAGTACAAAACATAGTGTTCCTTCACAACTTTTACCTTTCTTCTTTGTTTTGGTAAAGCTTTGCGGCGTATATTCTCTTTCTCCGTCGACGGGATAGAAACACAGAACTACAGAAGAGAGTTTCAATTCAAGCTGGTTCGTCTCTCCAACCAGTCTTCTTGTTTTTTTATATTTTGTACGTTCACTATATTTCACCTTCTCGCCGACGTAGCTTACTCCGCACTTGGTAGTCACTTGTGTATTTTTTTTTCAAGATATTTATTGTTCAGCAATAATATTTGTTGTTTATTCCTTCGGCACTACTCGCTGGCTCCCATTTAAAAATAGTCTCTATTTCACTATTTGTGCAGATAGTTATGGATGTTAATGTCTCGGGTGAAGGTAATATTGACCCACAACAGCATGAAGAGAACGTGTCTGTTACATGTTCAAACCCAATATCAAGATCAAGGAAATCTTGTCCAAACAAGTCTGGTTCTCGTCGCACATCGGATGTTTGGGGAGATTTTGATTTGTTCGATTGCGTGCATGAGGGAAAGGCAAGAAAGAAAGCAAGGTGCTTAACTTGTGACAAAGAGTATTTCGCTGATTCAAACTTGGGCACATCAAACCTAAGGCGACATAGCTATACTCATAAACCAGCACGTAAGTCAAACAATCTTTTTGCTGAATTTGACGAAGAGAATGGACCTGATTCTTGTGGTATTTGTGGTCACAATAAGATAACTCAAGAGGGGTTTCGTGATAAGTTGATTGAAGCAGTGATTTCACATGATTATCCATTCAGATGGGTTGAGCATAAGAAAAATAGATCGTTGCATGCTTATTTGAATGGTATGGTTAAGCCAATTTCGAGGAATACATTGAAATCTGATGTGGTAAAGAAGCATGCAATAATGAAAGATGAATTAAAGGAAGATTTACAGAAGATTTCTAGTCGTATTTGTTTGACTACTGATCTGTGGACATCATTGACAAGTAGAAGCTTTCTTTGCTTGACTGCTCATTATGTGGATGAGAATTGGAAGTTGAATAGCAAGCTTTTGAACTTTTCTCATGTTCCTCCTCCACATACGGCTTTTGAGTTGAAAACTACTATTTATCGTAGGGTAAATACAATTTAATATCCAAACCTTTCATTTTAAACAATATAATATCCAAACCTTTTCGAAAACAATCTAATATCCAAATCGTCAACTTTCCGTTCGTTTGACCGTTAGTTGACACTTCAAAAAAGCTTTGTTTAGGGGAAATTGTCACAATACAACTTTGTTTTCTTGTTTTGGCATTGTAGATGACTGAATATTTAGATATTCTATAGCATCATGGTAGAGTCATGGACTTTTCGGGTTTGGAACCACGATATGTTGGTGGTTTTTCAGAGAAGATATCGATGGATATTGATGAAGTGTCGTACTTCGAACTTTTATGAAGTATCAACTAACGGTCAAATGGACAGAAAGTTGACGATTTGGATATTAGATTGTTTTCGAAAAGGTTTAGCTATTATATTGTTTAAAATGAAAGATTTGGATATTAAATCGTATTTACCCTTTATCGTATGTTGAAGGAGTGGGGTATTGACAATAAGATTTTTGCTATCACAATGGACAATGCTAGCAACATGACCAATATGCAAAATAAATTGCGTGAGCAGTTAAATAGACAAAATGCATTGTTGAGTGATGGAAAATTCTTTCATATTCGTTGTTGTGGGCATATATTGAATCTTATTGTCCAAGATGGGTTGAAAGTGATAAGGGATGGCATCAGATGTGTCAGAGAAAGTGTCAAATATGTGGAGGGATCTGAAGGGAGAAAGATCCAATTTAGGGAGTGTGTTGAACAAGGTGGAATGAAGTGTTCAAAAGGGTTGTGGCTTGATGTACCAACAAGATGGAATTCAACTTTTATGATGCTTGACAGAGCAATTTATTATCGCGAAGCCTTTGTGAATTTATCAAGGATTAATAAGTACTATAAGGATTGTCCAACACCACTAGATTGAGAGAAAATGATTGTACTGGCTAATCTCTTGAGACCTTTTGATGCAATCACCAAGTTATTCTCAGGTACCAAGTACCCAACAATCAATTTGTTTTTTGAGAATGTTTGCCAGATTCATTTCCAATTGAGACAACTTTCTACAAGCTATTGGGAGGATTACAATGCAGTGCTTGCTTTTGGTGTTATTCTCGATCCTCGTTGCAAGCTTGATTTGGTTCAGTATCTTTATGGAAAATTGGGTGGAGATTACACTTCGAAATGGAAGGATATTGGTGACCAACTAAATATGTTTTTTGAGGAGTACAAAATTAGTTCTTCTTTGTCTTCCATGTCAAGTGGCGGAAGCAGTACCTCAAGCACAAGGACTAGTTCAAGTTGGAGCATGGATAACTTCACTAGTGTAAGTTGCAATTTAAAGTGTGCTTTCACATTTTTCCAGTATAATTTATAATTTGAGAAGTGAAATCGTCCTAAAAATCTACTTTTCATATCAATGTATTTATGATGCTGACTTTATGGTATTGTTATTTGTAGGATTTCGATACTTTTAATGTGAACATGAATACATTAGGCAAGTCTGAATTGCAAATATATCTAGAAGATCCAAGGGAACCTCGTATGCTTGAAAAGGATGGTGTTGAGTATCTTAATGATCTTGATGTCTTAAATTATTGGAAGGAGCATCAATATCGTTACCCTCAACTCTCTCGAATGGCAAAGGATATACTTGGTATTCCTATTACATCAGTTGCTTCAGAGTCGTCTTTTAGCTTGGGAGGTAGAGTATTAAACAAATGGAGGAGTAGTATGCTAAGTGACACCGTTGAAGCTGTAGTGACTACTCGCAATTGGCTTTATGGATATGAATATGGTAAGTAATTTATCATTATAAGTTATAACTATCTTTTTATTTTGTATGGTGTATTTATAATTGCTTTTTATTTGAATGGTTCAACATAAAGAAGAAGATGAAGAAGATGCAGAAAGCAGAGGAGAAGAAGTGGAGCTTATGCCGTGATTGATTGCCAGATCCAATCTCATTTTGCTTTAGACATTTTTAGTTTGATGCATACGGTTTCTATTTACTATTATTTGGAGGATGTTAATTAGTATGGATTGTCGATTCTTTTGGGAGTATCTTTTGTAGTTTTGTTCTCGTTATAAATGAATCTTCACATTTTATTCATTTGAACGAAATTGATTTTGGGATGTTATCATTTATGATTTGATGTCTTACGATGTTTTGTTACCAATTTATATTTAGATTGGTTTTTTATGTGTAAGCAGATGAGTCTATAGTTTAACAAAAATTATAAAAACATATGTATGTTTCATATCTCCGACGGAGTGACAAGATCAAAGCATATTAGAATAATTGACGATCACAAAGCTTATTAGTTTATTATTTTAACTATTAATTATAACACATAAGTTTTCTTTGGTAAGAATTATAACATATAAGTTGAATATACATTAACGTAAATTTATGATACAAATGATTGTGAAATAGATGTGGGATTCTTTCGCGTGTTTAGATTTATGTAATTATAAATTTATAATGATATCAACTAATTCGGGTCAGTTGGGTTATTTGGGTTATTCAGATCGGATTCGGTCGGGTTACGGGTTTGATCGAGTTACGGGTTAGTCGGATTATGGTTTAAACGGGTTACAACCCAATTGGGTCATGGGTCAATCAGGTTACGGGTCAATCGGTTAACAGATTTATCGGGTTCGAGTTACGGACGGTTTACATGTCATTAACTTTTAGTCAAAACGGGTAACGGACAGATCATGGGTCGGATGGGTTGGGCGGGTTGATCGGGTCGGATTCAATTTTGACAGCTCTATCTATGGATGATTTCTTGTGATTATGTGCAACCTATGCTGATGATTGAGCCATGTATTAGGTTTGTGCATAGGTTCATTTCTCATGTGTTTGTGAACCGATAGATGTTTTGAATCGATTACTTGCTTTTCACAGTTGCCTATGCATCGAGTTTAGGGAATTAGAACGAATGATTGAGCACCTAGGTAGCCATGTGAGACTTGTGCCGTTCGTTTCATTCTTGGGTGATAGATCCCCCTTTACATGATGTGTAGCGTTCACGTTGTCGCTAGCAAGGAAGATGGAGGCATAGGATTAGCCAAGACCCAAAAGTTGACTGACCTGATCATATTATTCCTTAGTCAACCCTTTTGAGTCGTGTGTCTAAGGGTCTTTCTTGTGTTAGGTAGCTCACGCTACTTGAGCTTGATTGATTTAGATAGAACGACCCTTTGCTTTCTTCGTGTCTACACCGTTATCGAGTGACCCTTGTGTTTGGAAGCTCCATTCATACCGTTTGAGCTAAGATGAGGTTCCACATGAGTAATTTGTGTATGGTTTTGCTAAAAATGTGAAGTGAGTGTGGAGGTATGTCTTAAAAGTGAGCATTGTTCCTTAAGTTAAGGAAATGTGGCATGTGTATATAGCTCTCTATAGCCCCCAAAGAAAAGAAAAAAGAAAAAAAAAAGAGATCAATAAAAGGGCAAAGAAGAAAAGAAAGTGGCCACCAAAAATATAATAAATGTTGAACATGCTCTTAGAAGTGTTGCTTAGCATGCAAGCTTTAGGAACATTTACATTTTGTTTTCCTACCACTCTCTTGTGCTTGAAATTGAATAGCAAATGTAGAAAGAAAGATAGTTGTGAATGGGATGGTGATTGGTTGTGTTTTGAAAGTGTGGGAAGTGTGGTTTTTGACCGTTGTTAGTGGTCGTTATTTGTTGAGGAAGGTTCTAGATCGAAGCTAAGAACCTTGTACTTTGGTTCTAGGTTGAAGTTGTGGAACCTAATGAAATATGTGCCGTCACCCAAAATTTCTTTTCCCCATGTCCTAGACCCTAGCCAGTCATTTGAACCTGTGTCTAAGACCTCCGGACAAGCTAGCAACGACACCCATCTTGTGATCTCTAGCATTTAGAGGCTACCATCATGGTAAAGGGATGTTAAGATTGAGCGTGAAATGGCACATCTTTTGCATCAAATGGTCCTGACCCCATGGTCGAGAGTGAGTGATTCATTCATCATGTTTTGTTTATTTCTTATACCCCGGTGAGGACTTAGGTTGCTCGATCGTTCGTTCCTATGATGTGATCTTCATGCATGAGTAACTGTGATTGGTGAGTCATCGAGGCATGTTGTATGTTGGTTGATGAATAATGTGAGAACTCTTCCTTTGCACAATCTTAATACAGTTGAATGTCATTTGTGGTGGTTGTCATGATTACTTTGTTTTTGTCCATAGGTCGGTGTCAGTTGGGTTGATGTCCTTTGCTGGGTCTCTTTCTTAGTTGCGTTGCGAGGCTGTTGTGCCTTGCTGTTCTTGTTTTCTTTTCTTCAGTTGCTGCATTTTGGTTTTAGTTAAACTTCTTCCTGGTTTGTTTTTATTTTGTCCTTCCTCACTCCTTCAGATCGAGGTCTTGGACAGTGTACGGACTTCTTGTTTCTTTTGTATTTCGGTGTTGATTTTAATTCATTTCACCATTCTAATAAAAACAAATTAAATTGAGCGTCTGCGGTGCATACACACATATGAATGAGTATATGTGAACCTGCGTGATGCTAAATCTTTAATTAATTTATAATGCAGTCGTTGTTCAATGCGTGAGGAATTCGGTTCAAGAAGGAGGAGAGAAGGGTCACGGCCGACACTACTACTGCACTGCACAACAGGAGCATTACGCCCAGCACCACAACTCCGACGACCCAGAGAGAGATAGAGATAATTATCGGTATCACTCAGACAACGCCGCCACCATCCCTAATTTACTTTCTTGGAGACTCAACGTTGCTAGCAGGCCCACCCTCGTCCACAACTAACGTAACTTCACCCGATGATGCATGCATGCATGCTGATAGATACTGATATCCTTCTTAATTAATCTGCTGCCACGCCACCAACTTAATTAGACTTCTTCATCTCCTTCTCCATCGCTTTCTTTCCCATTTTCTTGATTTCTCCCCCACCACTCCACCATCCTAACCTTCAAACTTATAAAATAAATTTTTAATTAAACTCTCACTTTCACTTTCACTTCCACTTCGTTTCATTTTGTTTTGCTTTGGCTTTTTCTTCTGCCTTTAGACAACCATTGATATAATGGCAGGAAGGAGCCCAATTTTCGCTTCATGTAGACTAATTCAATTCTTATTATCTTTTACCACTGTTTTTTTTTTTCCACCTTTTCTCCCACTCATCACTCTATCATTCATATATATTACAATATAAACAATTAAACTCGATATAATTTATATTTGCTACCTAGTTCATATTAATTTTCATCTTCACCCCTTAATTTATTTTTTCATACATATTCACTAACTATCGCTATAGTCTAAATATATAGTTTGTATAAGAGTTCAAAATTATGGGTGGTGACCATCTGTCTTTCTTAGTTATGCTACGTTGCATTAATTATTTGTAGAAAGGATCTGCATACTTTTTAATGACACTGTTTTGTAACATCTCACGACTAATCTCACATCAACAAATTTGTATATGAGAGATTCATGATTCATAAGTAAGAAATCGATTTTAATTGACAAGATGCATTTTAGGGTGAAATGGAAGACTTCTTGTAAGAACACTGTGGTCATTGTGTGGAACACTAAAATGATGTGTGAGAAGTCACCTTGATATGCGCTCTAAGGAAAAATTTGCGAGAATCTAAAGTTAAATCAGACAATATCTTGTTGAAAAAATGTTCAGAATGTTATAGTGTGACACAAATGAAAAATGCATGCACTATATAGTATATAGTACTATTAACAATCATCTAAATCACTCCAAGAAGGAAAAACACAACATGATGGAGTATAGGGGTGGGCATCCGGTTCAATAAACCCGAACCGAACCGGACCGAAACCGAATTTGTGTTGTTCGGTTCGGAAGCCAAAACCCTTTATTTCGGGAACCAGGGGTATACAGACCGAAACCGAATTCCGATCAACCAAACCGACCAACTGAACAAAAAATTTAACCCAATCTTACAACACAACTGACTACCCAAGCTCTCACTTTAAGCCCAATTCTCACATCCCAAATCAAACAGAACCCAAAAACAAATCCCTCACAACCCAAATCAAATAGAGCCCGATTCAAATCCCTCAAGCCCACAACTCTTTCCTACATACTGCTAACCTAAACCTAGCAAAGAAGACCAAAAACCCAAGCATCACCGCCGTCAAGCATCACCACCGCCAACGACCGTCAAGCATCGCCGTCGTCCACCGAATCCTTCCATCATCTCTTGGCCTTGCCGCAAACTTCTCCTTTACGGGTCGATGCCATTTCCCCTCTCTTCGATCTCTTCTCCTCCCTGAGACCAGAAACCCAAATTCAAAACATAAAACCCCAAATGCATCAAAATTAATATTGAAAATTAAAGCTTTCTTCCCCAAAATCGAAGCTTTCTTCTCCTGAATCGAAAAGAGCGATGATGCTATTGAAACTCGAAGGTGAAAATCAAACAGAAAAATGACATGCATGCTTAGATCTACACTCATACTGACCTCAAACATTCAATCACCGTGCTCGCCTGTCGCCGCGTTGTGTTCTGACTTCCGGACAGATCGCCGTTGCCGTTGAGTCGCCAGACGGAAAAGATACCATCGCAGCACCGCTGCTTTCTGCTCGCCGCTGAGTCGGGAGACGAAGGAGATACCACCATCCCAGCACCGCTCCTTTCTCCTCTGCATCGATTGCGTTTGTTGGAAGGGGGAGGGAGGGAGGGAGAAAGAGAGAGAGAGAGAGAGAGAGAGAGAGAGATTTGATCGA